TGGCCATTTCTGCTCAGATCATTCAGATTAAGTTGTTGCCTTCATCAGTTTTGACTTTACCTCCTTAAATACTGCTCAGAGTGAAACTCCTGTTATTAAATATAAAAAATTTAACAAAGCTGTTTCTTTTAAATGGTTTATGTGTAAATTCTTAAAAAGAGTTGATGGAAGCTGCATAATTTGAATAGTATTTCCTCATTTTTGTACATGATTTTGGTAATTTGTTTTTGTTTTTTTCGTAAGGTGAAGCGAATGTATAATTAAAATACTATGTTTAGTAATTGTGTCTTTATTTTAAGAACGGCCTGCCTGTAAACTGCTATTCTATCACTGTATTGACATGTTTTTGGTTATAATTAGCTTATACTGAGCCGCATTGATCCTTTCTGAGATGGAAAAAAAGCAGATTTGATTATCTGGACCAGATTTGGTCCAGATAATTTGAATTGTAATCTGAGCTACCCAGACCTTTTAAAAGGCTATTTTTACAGGGTCAAATGTTGGTCAAACAGGTTTACATGGGATGATGGAAGGTGATGAACCACTCAGAGATGATTTTCTGAATAGAGTTTCATGACCTGGGGAATACCTCGGTGGACAGTAATTGTATATAGATGAAGTAAAACCAGAGGAAAAACCTGATTTCACAATAAAAACCTGTAACGGAGGCCTGATTTGCACAGATCTGATGGTTGCCTCTTCAGTTTTCCTCCCCCTCAGTGAAAAGCGGCCGTACCTTGAGCTGCCCCTGAACGCCCCTCAGCTGTTTCTGGGCCTCGGCCGCCTGCCTGTTGGCGTGACTCATCTGGATCTCCATTTCGTTCAGGTCCCCCTCCATCTTCTTCTTCACCCTCAGGGCCTCGTTGCGGCTCCGGACCTCGGCGTCCAGCGCCGCCTGCATGGACTCCATCGCCCTCTGGCCGTTCCTCCTCAGATGGTCCATCTCCTCGTCTTTCTCCGCCACTTTGCGGTCCACCTCGGCTTTGATCTGGCTCAGGTCCATCTGCGTGCGCAGGATCTTGGACTCCTCTTGCTCCAGAGAAGCCTTGAACATATTAATCCCACGTGAGCAGAGATGTTTAAAGTACTGGAGTAGAGGAGTGGAGTAGAAGTACAAGTACTATATAAAAAAATTGACTTGAGTAAAAGTAGAAGTATTCTTTCAACACCATACTTAAGTGGAAGTACGGAAGTAATCTTTTTTTTTTGGTCTTAAGTAAAAGTATTTCAAAAATTGCTACTCAAGTATCGAAAGTACAAGTATAAGTAAAAGTACAAGTACTGTGTATATTTTAAAAAGGCAGTCAAAAGAGTGATAGATATTGTTTATATTATTTAAAAAGTGTGAAAGGCCATACAGGTGTTCACAAAAAACAGAAAACTACATCTGCATTAGCAATCAACAGCTCTTAATCTACTAATATTTATTATTCCAAAGTCAGAATCCTGAGCTGAGCCTTTATGCTAGCATGTAGCATAAAGCTAGCCAGCTAGGTTAGCTTTAGCTAACGTTAGCTGCTACGTCCTGAGTAAACAGGGAGAACTGAACTAGTGCTTATTTACTAGCTTATATGTCATTGTATTTTTTAATTTACCTTGATATGCTTTTTCAGATTAGATGGGAAATATTTGAAGGCCATGTGTGGCCTTGTGCCACCGTGGGTGTCTGACAAAGTCCTCCAGAGACCAGGATATCAGGTGTAAATGGTTTTATTTTAGCGTGTGTGCGGCACCCGCACACACACTCTCTCACACAAGCACACACACTCACACGCCCGGCTAAGGCTCTTTGTGTTCTCGCCTGTTCCTGCTTGTTCAGAGCTGGTCGCTTGTCCTGCTCCAGCTCTCCTCCAAAACCAGTCCCCCCCAGGTCCAGCACACTACTCTTTTTACAGAGGGGAGAGTGATTAGTCAACCGGTTCCAGGTGTGCCTAATCATCTCCCCTGGCACTGCTCACCTGAGCCTTCTCCACCCCTCCCCCCTGCAGCTGAGCGCCACGCCCCCTCCACACCATGGTTTCGCAATCTTTGGGGAGGCTTGTTTTTTAATAGGCTAAGCTCGATCTCTCAAATCGCCCAATGAGTAGCCAGCTTCCCAAACCCTTACAGAGCTATCTATCATTACGTTTACATGTCAGTAATGAGTAACGATTCAGCCCGTGAAAAATCAATCGGAGTAAAAGTATTGAAATAATCAAAAATATGTAGTGGAGTAAAAGTAAAAGTAGGAAAAATATATATACTCAAATAAAGTACAGATACTGCATTTTGTTACTTAAGTACAGTACTTAAGTAGTTCTACTTCATTACTGAACATCCCTGTACGTGAGCCTCGGTCGTCCCTCCGATAATGCAGAGCCATACTTTTATCTCCCCGTCTCCGTAACTACCTCAGCTTCCTCCAGGGCCGCCTGCATGTCGCTTTTCTCCGTCTCCACCTGCTTCTTGAATTTCTCCAGCTCGTGAATCGTCTTTCCAGTCTCTCCCAATTGTTCCGTCAGGTCTGAGATCTCCTCTGTTTCGGGACATCGGATGACAGGAAGGTTTCAAAAAGGCCGATTTGAACCAAAAATTAAAGTCCCTGATGCTAGCCTACAAAGTGCTTAAGGGTACGGCTCCCATCTACTTGAATCCTCTTGCAAAGGCTTATGTCACAACTCCATCACTCCGGTCATCAATGGACTGTGGTCTAGCAGAGCCTTCATCAGCTTAAGACAATCCAGACTGTTTAATGTGTCGTTCCAAGATGGTGGAACCACCTACCGAGCTAAAAGAACAGCAGAGTCCCTGTCTGTCTTCAAGAAACTTTTGAAGACAGATATCCTGTCCTAAACCTAACCCGTACCTCTACCCCCCACAGCTCCTTCTGTAGTCCCTCTACCTCTATCTCTATCTCACCACTGACTGTGATCAGTGTTTCTCCTCTGTATAGCTTATTGTCAAAGTGATGAGAAATGTAATATTGTGTCTACTCTGTTAGTCGCTTTGGATAAAAGCGTCTGCCAAATGCATAAAGATAAACATAAACAAAAAGCAACTGAGTCCCCCAGGTAACATTGCGTTTTTTTCCTTTTGCATTCCCTCGCAATCAATGTCATGCAGGATAGTATATAAGGTTCTTATGAGGTTTAATGTTGAGATTGGTCTGCAATACAAAGTTATTGTCGTGTAAGAAGGAAAACAACCACCAGACGCCACTCACGCTGCAGGTTTTTGTTCTCCCTCTTCATGGTCTCCAGGTGGTCTAGGGCTTCCTCGTAAGAGTTCTTCAGCTTGAACAGCTCCGCGGTCAGATATCGGGACTCTTTCTGGGTGCTTTCCAGCTCCGCCTGAGACTCCTCGTGCTTCTGTTTCCACTCGGCCAGAACCTGGACACCAGCAGACGTCAGCCTCAGGGCGGGATGAGCGGTGATGGGTCATCCCTTGGGGGGGGGGGTTGGGTATACCTTGTCGTAGCTCCTCTGCTTCTTGTCCAGCGTGGCGGCTGAGTTGTTGGATCGTTCCACATCCACCATCAGGTCGTCCATTTCGTTCTGCAGCCGCTGCTTGCTTTTCTCCAGCGAGGCGCACTTGGAGTTCACCGCTTCGATCTGCTCCTCGGCCTCTTGGAGACGCTGAGCGAGTTTTTTCCTGGAAGCAATTTAAAATAAACTGGGAACTTCCAAATTAACGGGATGGTCGGTATTCTTCATTTGTGGCCTAAGAATCCGGTTATTACATCTCATTTTTACATAACCATAAATTCAAAGGCCTCTCCTCATCATGTCTGGAGAAGTAGCCCAACACATCCTGCTTTTCATTAAGATAGCCAGGAAAAAAAGCATCCAAACCCGCCAATCAGTTTTAGAAAGTTAGGAGCTGAATAAATAAGCACTCATCAACAAAGCAAACTTTAAAACCAAAACTGGTGGCAGAGCTCGTGGAAAAACGAGGCTCCCGACTGAAACTGGGAAACTGGGAAAACTCATCCTGGGAGCTCTGTGAAACTGGTTTCTAAAATTTTGACAAAGATTTGGTGCTTTTTTAGATCTTTCCTTTTGTGTAGACACCTTTGAAGCCCGCTTACAGACTTAAAGGGCGCTAAGGACAGCAGAAGTGCAGCGAATGAGCAAAAATCTGAGAGGCAAATTTAGCGTTGAACAGGCTCTAAAAGCAGATGGATGCACCTTGTAAAACGTCCCCACAGAGGATGGAAAACTGCGTAAAGATTCAGAGATTGTGATCATTAGCTCAGGCAGAGCAGGTTCGGGTTACTTTGCCTCCTCCAGCTCCTCGGTGCGCTGAATGGCGTCGGTCCCGTATTTGTTCCTCCACAGAGACACCTCGGTGTTGGCCTTCGACAAACAGCGCCGCAGCTCCGCTTTGGCCTCCTGCTCCTCCTCGAACTGCTCGCGGAGGAGATGGCAGTCGTGGCGAGCCGACTGCAGACTGTGAGCCAAAGCATTCTTCGCCTGCGGGGGGGGAACCAGTCAGAAACCAGTCAGAAACCGGCCCCACTCGGATTGCCCACAAGTAACAGTGTCCTGCCACCAGTGTAGTTGCTTTCGTTGCTTGTTTGTTCTTTTGTCAATAATTTCCCTCTGGGATTATTAAAGTATTTCTGATTCTGATTCTGATTGTCTTCCCTGTGCCCTTTTGCAGGTGCTACTACAGGTTCTCCACTCGGATTGCCTACAAGGAACAGTGTCCTTTTTGCAGACATAACACCTGGTCATATGTTCGTGTTGTCTTTCTTTCTCCTTTTTTTATTTTTATTTTTTTTCTCTCCCCTCTCTCTCCCTTTCTAAAGGGTCTCTCTCCTTTCCACTACCCTTCCCTCCCCCCTGTCCCTCTGTCAGGTTCGGCATTATTGGACATATGGAAATGTTGGTAACAAAAATGAATAAATAAAGAAGTTTTGGGTAATCAAGGGGGGCTTCTCACTAACAAAGCCTCCCTTGGCAAAGCAATTTTGTTCAGCATAGCACGGTACTCAGATTTCAGTTCTGCTGCCATAATATTAAACAGGACAAGGTAAAAAAATAGATTAAAAAAAATTAAACTGGCCCAGCTGAGAAGATCTGTGTTTGGGAGCTTCGCTTGCCTTCGATTCCTCCTCGATCAGCCGCTTTAGCTCCTCGATCCGCGTCGTGAATCCTTGCTTTCCCCTCGTCAGCTGAGAAACGAGGCTCTCTCTTTCCTCCAGTTGCCTGGAGAGCTCACCTGGAACCGGAATATTCAGGGAAAAAAAGCCTTTTTTCAGTGGGAGCTGGTCCCTGGTGAAGAGCAGCAGAGGGCGGAGCGGAGTTACCGTTCTCAGTCTGAAAACGAGCTCTCTGACTGGACAGGTCTGAGATCTGCCGGGCGTTCTCGTCGTTTTTGGTCCTCAGCTCCATGACCTGGTCTTCCAGCGTGCGAGTCATCTTCTCCAGGTTGAACTAAGTGTCAAAATGTCAAAAGAAGTCCCCTCAGCTGGGTAAAGCCCCCTCAGGTTCAGAGATGTTCAGTAACGAAGTAGAACTACTTAAGTACTGTACTTAAGTACCAAAATACAGTATCTGTACTTTATTGGAGTATAGATTTTTTTCCCTACTTTTACTTTTACTCCACTACATATTTTTGATCAATTCAATACTTTTACTCCGATCGATTTTTCATGGGCTGAATCGTTACTCGTTACTGAAATGTAAACGTAATGATAGATAGCTCTGTCACGGTTTGTGAAGCTGGCTCCTCATTGGGCGATAGCCTATTAAAAAACAAGCCTCCCCAAAGATTGCGAAACCATGGCCTTCAAAAATTTCCCATCTAATCTTAAAACCATATCAAGGTAAATTAAAAAATACAATGACATATATGCTAGTAAATAAGCGCTAGTTCAGTTCTCCCTGATCACTCAGGACGTAGCAGCTAACGTTAGCTAAAGCTAACCTAGCTAGCTAGCTAGCTGTATGCTACATGCTAGTATAAAGGCTCAGCTCAGGATTCTGGAATAATAAATAATAGTAGATGAAGTGCTGTTGATGCTAATGCAGATGTAGTTTTCTGTTTTTGTAAACACCTGTATGGCCTTTCACACGTTTGAAATAATATAAACAATATCTATCACACTTTTGACTGCCTTTTTTAATATACACAGTACTTGTACTTTTACTTATACTTTTACTTTCGATACTTGAGTAGCAATTTTTTAAATACTTCTACTTGTAATACTTAAGTACAAAAAATTTAGTATATCAGTACTTCCACTTAAGTATGGTGTTGAAAGAATACTTCTACTTTTACTCAAGTCAATTTTTTTATATAGTACTTGTACTTCTACTCCACTCCTCTACTCCAGTACTTTATACATCTCTGTCTTTTACACGTCTTAAATAATATAAACAATATCTATCACACTTTTGACTGCCTTTTTTAATATACACAGTACTTGTACTTTTACTTATACTTGTACTTTCGATACTTGAGTAGCAATTTTTGAAATACTTCTACTTGTAATACTTAAGTACAAAAAAAAAAGATTACTTCCCTACTTCCACTTAAGTATGGTGTTGAAAGAATACTTCTACTTTTACTCAAGTAAATTTTTTTATATAGTACTTGTACTTCTACTCCAGTACTTTATACATCTCTGCTCACGTTCCACAGAGCTCACCTTGGCCTTTGCCACGGTCTCCATGTTGCCGGCCAGATCGTCCCTCTCCATCTTGAGCTCGCTCTTCTCCTTCTCCAGCTTCTGCCTGGCCCTCTGGAGGTTGTCGACCTGCTCGCCCAGCTCCGCCATGCCGTCGGCCTGCTTCTTGCGCAGGGCGGCGGCCGTGGCCTCGTGGTGCAGCGTGGCCTCCTCCAGGTCCCGCCGCAGCTTCAGGAACTCGGCCTCGTGCTTCTTGTTCGTCTCGATCTGGGCGGACGTGGCTCCGCCGGCCTCCTCCAGCCTCTCGCTGATTTCCTCCATTTCCCTGGTCAGGTCGCACCTCTGCTTCTCGATCTTGGCTCGGACTGCTCGCTCGGCCTCGACTTCCTCCTCCAGCTCTTCTGTGCGAGCCTGAAAAGCCATCGATCTGAGAGAAAACCCTCACAAGATGGCGGCAAATACCTTTAATACCAATCCGCTTTACTTGGAGCTCCTTCATCTTCTTTTGCAGCTGGTTATTTATGGCTTGCTCATCCGAAATCTTGCCCTGTAACTGGCTGTTTTCAAATTCCTTCCTGTGAGGAGGAAAACACAGATGGAGTCGGTTCAGAGCTCAGGCATCACATTTGATTTGCTGCGTCAGATCAGAGCTTACTTCTTCATTTTCTCCTCAGACTGCTGCTTGTAATTCTCCAGATCCATCAGGGATTCCTGCGCTAGCTTCAGATCCCCCTCCAGCTTCCTCTTACCCCTCTCCAGGTCCATGCGGATCTTCTTCTCTTGCTCCAATGAGCCCTCGAGCTATGCACACAAACAGTTAACTCACGAGTTGCCACCACGATATTTTTATTATTTTCATTTAATGGATTCCTGCTGCTCACATCATCCACTTGCTGCTCCAGCTTGCTCTTGGCTTTGGTCAGGGAGTTGACTTTGTCTTCCTCTACTTGGACATCGTCCAGCGTTTGCTGATGGGCCTCTTGGAGGGACTTCTTCTCCTTGGTCAGTTTGTTGATGTTTTCATCCTGACCAGCCAGCTCCTCCACAAGGTTTTTAACCTGCAAACACAATGTTTATTTATTTATTTATTTAATCAGGACAGTGCACGTTAATGAACAATCTCATACAGATTGTAAATGAGCCAGATTCTAGCATAGTTGCTAATTCGCATCTGTCGTCCTGAGACAGGAAGACAAAACAACACAAAATCAAATAGTACAATATCAGTTAAAACAGAGAGACACACGTTCAGACAATGACATT